GTAATATTGTGACAATAACCGCTCCTAGTCAACCAAAGTTTTTTTAATAAATTATATTTTAGAAAGTTACAAAAATATATTAATTACAATTTTCTCTCTCTCTTTCTCTTACTTCTGCAATCTCTAGCCAGATATCTCTTCTTTCTTTTTCTCATTCTTTTCCTTATTTACGTTGAGTCAAAATATACCACTGCAAAAGTAAAATAAGACATCAATATCAATCAGCTTGGCAATCACTACTACTCGAAAAACACCAATACCTTTGCATAAATAAATCAATATCATTATGAAAAACAATACCATTATACTAAAAAACCAATACCATTGCATATTTAACTAATACCAATACATGAAATAAACTACCGATACAATAACATCAATACAAAAAAAAAAAAACCAATACGAAAAAAATAATACCACTATAAAATCAGTTTTCTTTTCGAGTTGGATATTTTGTGGTTTTCTGTTGTCGATTTCCTAATTCTCTTATTTTCCACCAACTATTTTCAATCATTAGATTTAGTTTTCTACAATATCCCAAACATATAGGAAAACCACATTATAGAAATCACAATGCATTATTTAATATCATATTGTAATAAAATCAAAGTACAATATTTGCTTAGAATAGTGTTTTTTATATGGGTTCAAGGCATGCAAATTGTATTTCAAATGGAATAAACTTTTGTTGTATTACAAATGTAATAAACTTTTTCAAGGGCTAGCAAAATGCACACTAAATGGAATAAACTTTTATTGAGACACCCACATCTATTCTATCTCCCTCAATCTTTCATCACTTTTCTTGAAAAGTTTCTAAAGTTGGTTATATGTATAATATGGCACTCTATTATTGTATTTTCTCAAATTTGCCCTCCACTATTTTTCACGTCAAACTTGCCTCTCCACTATAATCACATTCCTATATCCAATGCAGGTAAAATCGAGATTTGAAGTAAAATCAAAGCTGAGGCGAAATCGGAATCGTAAATTAAAATTGTAAGATTTTAAGATTCATATGAAAATGAACACTTAAAAATCCATAGAGTATGAGTAATAACAATGCATATTCTGTATAACAATCAACCACATATAACTTAATTATTTCCCAATATAAGTTTCTTTGTTAGATAGACACAAATAAATCCATAGATTTATTATTGTACATAACATAGACAAATAACTAAGCAATATGAAAGATAATAGGAATTACTTAATCTAGATATTAGCTAATTAAGAGTAGAAAATCACATAAGATCCTTAGTATCAATATTAACATCCCTCACACATCATCATCCTCACCCACATCCTCATAGAATCGTTAACTATTTTCTTGAGCAATAATATCATTATTATCAGGCTCACTTGAAGTAAGTTCACCATTGAATATATTTCCTTGATAACCATCACCTGGGAAAGGTAACAATTTGATGCATCCCTTCTTGATCGATAAAAGGTGGGGGATGGTGCTGTTGAAGGTTTCGGAGATGAACGAAAGCTTGCAAGGGAATGGGGGTTGGGCTAATTACAAGGGTGGTAGGGAACAAACTTCGAGCTAAATGTGAGGGTGGAGGAAATCGTTGATAGAAGGAGTTGGGTGTTGGCAATATGGAAGAGGAATAGATGAGGAAGACAACAAACCTAATTGAGGGTCACCCATTGTGTTATGGTTATGTTGTTCATTATTGGGTTGGGGGAAATGAACCTGACCGGGTTCATGGGAACGACCTGACCGACCTGATTATGCGCCAATCGACATGAACCTTGAAATCGTACAAAATCATAGATTTTAAGGATTTTACAGTTTTAAATATGGATTTTATGGAATTTTAAGGTTCAAATATTTTATAGTAAAATGAGGATAGAAACTCATAGGTAAGATTATAAAATCGTAAGATTTTAAAATTAAAATTGGAATTTGACTACATTGCCTTACGATTTTACGATTAAAATCGGAATTTGACTACATTGCCTATATCTACCCTTTTGTTATTATGCCATCCAAAGTTAGTTGACCATGGTTAAACCTACTTTGAGTCTAGATTGAATGACCTTTTTGCCCATATTGTTCGGCAGGGGAGGATACCTCTGATCTTTAGGTTTTAGCTCCACTGTTTTTTATTCCTCTGTTTTTGTGGAAGAGGACGACAGTGTCGGCATTGGGAGCTGATTCCGCTATTGATGGTGGTGGTCCACCGGGAAAGCCATTAAACTTAATCATCCACTACCGCAACCATCAATCTCGAATCACCCAAAAAACAGAGGAAGACGGAGGAAGAAGACCGATGAGGAGATGCAGTCCACGCCGGCGGCTTCGTATTCGGAAAACAATTACTTCCTCCATCTTCCATCTAAATTCATAGTTCAGAAATCAGAATGATGTCGGTTCTGCATATGTGCTACCCTTATCCTATTTGTTGTGTATATATACCGCCAAGAAAAGGAATTTGGATGGGATGGTGCCGACATTGTATCTTCTCTATTTCGACGACAGCTCATGCATCTACACCCCTAATGGATTTTCCCAATAACCACATGGCATCATCCCTAATTGAACAAACGGCTTTCGTAAGTCAATTAAATATACTATTATCACTTTCTTTGGCTAATGAACCAGAATCCAGAAGAAAGAATTGAAATGAAGATATCCAATAACCCAATTAACAATTAAGCTCATCACCACATCCAATATGAGATTAGCGTTCTATTATGTGGGGGTTAATCTCAAACACATATGTTGCCGCAAAAACACCGTCGGAGCTTGGAGCCGAGATGGACCGCTCATCGTTCGAAGCCGCTGACCGCCACATATAGGATGTCGCCGCAACCACACCTGCCATCGTCTTGTTTCCGTGCCCTTCACCATCGAAGATCTGGTTGTCGCTGAAGATCTTGTCGTTGCACCTGTTAGCGAAGGATGGAGAGAAATCGAAGAGGTGCTAAGTAAAAGATATGTTTCACATTCTTTCCTTCTCATTTTAGTGAGAGCTTTCCTTCTTTATAAAAAAAAAATACATATATGATAATATTTTTTTTTCTAATCAGGGATAAGATAGACATTTCCCAATGATCTAACCATGGTTGAATATTTATTGACGGAAATGGAAGGATAATGTAACAGAAGGGTAAGTTTAGGGAACCTATTATAGTAGAGAGGCAAATTTGACGTGAAAAATAGTAGAGGGGAATGTTTGAGAAAAAAACAATAGCCGATGGGCATATTATACATATAACCCTTCTAAACTCCAACCAGTAGCAGTTGCCCACTTGTCCTCTTTTCTTTGTATCGAAAGAAATAAAGCAACAGTGGAGACCAATCCAAGTCAACACTATTGGTGACCATGGTCCACCTGGTTTGGATATAGAGCATCACGTTTGCTTTTGTGGGTCTCTCCATAAAAATTCAAATTTATGGGTCATGGCTGGTCAACTCGATGCTTGGATGCTACAATTATGTCTTCCGCCAAGGACTTTCTCTTCACTTCAATTCCATTCTAGAATTCATCTTAGGATTGCTTGTCCGTGAGAATCGCCAAAACTACCCAAATGGCATCAAAGAATACAAAAGCATACATAGGGTCTATTTATCGTATATTGGGCGTTTTAAGACATTTCTATCCTAAAAAATGCGCCAAATAAGAATATTATAATCCCAAAATATGGGTTCAAAAATATCACTTTACAAGTGTAGTTAATTTGACAGAAAATCCATTTGATCACAATGTCAAAAGTAATTGGAAAATCATATCTTAATCTAAATCGAGAAACCCTTACAAGTTCGCCCCTACCTCATAGGTTGTTCGGCCACTACTGGAGGGAGCCAAGTGTTGGAGTTTTCCTAACGGATTGCCCCATGAGGCAATATTCCCATCGTTATTAGCCATTCTTCTTAACTACACGAGAGAGTAGAAATCCATCACTCCGCTTTGCAAGGGGTGATAACTCACTATTTTATGAAGCAACATAAAAAAGCTTCGCCAAGGTAATGGGCTCACCAATCAGAGATTTTCGACAGCGAGGCCATCATGGCGACGGGTAGAAGATTATATCAGCAACGGAAGTAGGAGAGAGAAGAGATTAATTAAAGATAGAGTTTATTTTAGTTATTTACTTTTAAAATACAAATAAGAAATACTTAATTATATACAAAAAATCTAAAATATATGGATTCAAAAGTTGAATAACTCAATTGATCTAGTTTTAAAGTATAGAAATTATTAAATTATTAAGTTAGTACTTTGGTGAGAGAAAGGTAGAAAACTAAAATCAAATTGCTGGATTTTGAGAGCCTATTTTCTTCCGCAAACGTATGACTAGTTGGATAAGACAAAGCCTCTATTTTTGTTCTAGCTAGTTCTGCCCCTTTCAATTTTACCCTATAACTCAAATCAGAGTACAGTTTGTGATTAGTTTCATCAGCAAACCTTTGAGGTAACTTAGTTTTCTCCCTCTTCTTTACTATCTACTCTCAATCTGAGAACTATTACATCCTTTATGGGCCTTTATGCTACCTGCTAACCAGAAACATCCTAAATGGGTTTAATTCATACATCTCATCCACCCAAACGTATTTATCCAAAGCCAACGTCAAAGATCCTCAAAATCCTCATTTACTTCTGATTTGAAAGCCCGTGGGCACCCAGAAAGATCACATGAAGTACTAAGGAGCTCCAAAAAGAAGTTACTACTCTATTACCTTATCAGAGCTATCTGGTAAGAAAGGGATGTATATCTACCACTTCATTATTGATGACAAGGGACTTATTGTAAACTGGAAGGAAAGAAGGATACTCAGTAGCTGTCAACATCTTATAATGAGATGGAACAAATCACAAAAGAATATGGAAGATAGTGGCATTGAAGAGCAGAAGTTTGTGACTATACCCTTTATTCTTGTGGTTTGCTCAAGACAACCATTTATTACGAAGCCATATACCTCAAAAGCATCTTCTGTTCACCTCAAAAGCTTCTTCTGTTCACCTTAAGCTGGACTGGAGTTACTGCTTTATAAACTCTACCCCTTGGTGCCCGCTCCAAACCCTATGCTTGAACAAGGAAAATCCCTCTCTCTGCTCAAGGAAAAGCCTTCTCTGAAACTCTTATTCTCTATTTCGTTTTGGATTAAAATGGTCGACCAAGGCATCATTGAAATTATTCAAAAAACTAAATCCCTTGGAATCTCTGATTGCATCCTTCGCTGCAAACCAAAAAAGAACGAAAAATGAGAGAAAACTTTTTGAGATTCTGATGGGTAAGCTGGTTGCTGACAAGAAATACTCAACGGGTGCTAAGGAGCTTACTTTGGCCAGAAGCAGGAGGGATATAAGGCAGCCAGCGGTGGTCGAACTGGGAAAAAATATTCAACATCTCCTTCAAATCTAGGAGGAGAAGAGGAAAATATGGGAGGCGCGCCCATGGAAGATTGTTGATGTGCTCCTGGTGCTCGTTGATTGGAAAGGGAAGGGAAAAATCAAAGCTAAAGATCTTAATTTCAACAAAACCCTAATCTAGGTTCAAATCCATAATTTCCCCAGGTGAGATCATATATGAGGAAAATGTCGCCACACCTTTGAATGAAATCTTTGAGGAAATAGTCTGGGGAAATTAAATGAGGGTAGCTGAAGGAAGATATGTCAGCTTCATGAGGGTGTTTGTGGGCAATGATCTAACACAGACTCTAGCTCCTGGCTTCTTCCTTCAAGATGACTCACCCCTGACATCTGGGTAGAGTTCAAGTGTGAGAGACTGTCGACGAACTTCAGCTACTATTATAGGCGAATCAGTCACTCCAACTTCAGTGCAGCCATCCGGAGGAGAGAGTGGAAGGTCGCTATGACGACTCGACACGAGCTGGGCATCATTCATCATCATCTCCTGTGTTGAGCATGCCAAAGAATACTACAGGCATTGCTGAAAGCAAAAATAGAGATAACTCCTCTGCCATCGTCGGACGGTCAGTCGGCCGTTACTTGATGGGAGACTCTCAGGCGGTCGGGGCTCCCAATGAAGAGAGGAGAGATAAATCATGGGTTGGATCTAGTACCCCAGTTCAATGGGCTCCATGGCTAACTTGGCAGGGATAAAGAAGGATGATGTGTGGCCATCACTAGGTTTTGGGAAGGTGAAACGCGCAGGGGTATGCAACCAACTTTTATAGGTGATATAAGCAACAAATTGCTCTCCTTTCCAACCTAGGAAATTTTCGTTTGGGAAAGAAGGAAAAGTAGACCGAGAAGAAAGGTTGGAAAACTCGATGGGATTAGGGAAATGGTTAGGTACAAAGGATTCGTTATATGGGGTGACCCACGTGGCACTAAATCGATATTTGAGGCTTGCCCTCAATTTCCCTATATGGGGTGACCCAAGTGGTCAAGAAATCTAGATTCTTAAGGCCCAAAAGGGGATTTCCTCCACCTAGGTCCATTTGACCTAACTTTGAGATATGAAGAACAACACTCAATAATTATGAAAATTACCTCAAACATTGTATTAAACACAAGCTCGCAAACATATCATTCAATCCATACAACCTATCACATCTCTAGGCTAGGGTTCACAACACCCAAGTGAAGTGAAGAACTACTCCATGACTAAGAAGAGGAATACAACAAAGTAGGATAGAAAAACCATGGTAAGTTGCTTCTCTTCACTCTTAGTTGCTTGGATTGCCTCCTTGGAGGGGAATCTCCATTCTTCAAGCCTTGAGTAGGTCAAGAACTCCTTCTTCCTCCTTTGGTTCATTACTTTCTCTCTCTAACTCAAGAAGAAGAAGAAGAAGCCAATCTCACTCTAGAATTCCTCTCCCCCTTGTTTCAACTCACTCCTCCTTTTATATTCACTTGGGCGATTGTCACGGTCAAATGTCACAGCCGTGATCTTGAAGGTTTGCCCATGATGTCGAGCAAAAATGGTCGTTTCATTTAGAAACTTCACGAACAGTGCGGAAATGTCACGGTCTCACGCCCATGAAATTCGACTTGTCCGCGAGGCATGCTCGAGCTCCTGGAACTCATCAAACTTCTCGGTCTGGCCATAATTTTCACGGTCTACTGCTTGTGATAATGCTCCTCTTGTCTGACTTCTGCCTTTTTGTCAATTTCGCTCCTTTTTCGCCCTCTTTCGTTCGACTTTCACTCCCAAGTTTAGCTTATCCCTTCCATCAAAGATCATCAACTTCATTTGGAGTATCACTAGAAATGCAATGGAGACAAAGAGAAATCTTTAGTTTTGAAATGTAATTAGCTCACTTATCGGCATGATGTGCGATGGTGATAGTGAGGATGTGTGGCATTGCCTGTTTGGATGCCCCCATGCCATGCATAATTGGCAGGATGACTTTTGCCGATCTCCCTCTACCTCTAAGCAACCTCCCGATCCTTTTGTGGCTCTTCAATCTGCATGAAGTGCTCCCTTTCAACTCTTTAATGGTAGTGGTAGCTCATCTGTGGGCTTTTTGGAATGCTCGAAATGAATGGGTGTTCAAAAGTGTTTGTCCACAGCTCCGATTAACCTCTGCCAAGGCTTTCGGATACTTCAATGATTGGATTGCTTGGGAATTGCCTTCGACTACTTATTCTCCTCCTCAGCCTGTTCCACCCCATACAATCTTTGATCTACCGCCTATCTATTTCCAGTAGGAGATCTACTGTGATGGAGCTTTGGTCTCGGAATCTAAGGTGGCGGCGTATGGTGTTGTTATTCACAATCATCACGGACAAGTGACTGACGGAAAAGTTAGGACCCTGTTTTGTTCCTTAGCAATTGTGGCGGAAGCTGAGGCTCTATTGATTGCATTGAAGGTGGCTCAAGACTTTGTTTGTACGATTATCTTCTCCAAATGCCAAATCATCATAACATTCTTCTGAAGCGGAGCCGTTCTTGGCCATGGCAAGTTAAGGCTTGGATCCACTGTATGAAGCATATTCTTGCTCAAAATGATCATATTAAGGTGACTTTTACTAGCAGAAGGAACAAAAAATGTGTTGATTGTTTAGCGAAAGGAACTATGAGAGGTTCTTTTCCTTCTGAGTGGATTCAAATTTTTGACTTAATCTCCCATTTGCTGTAATAGGTTGTGCTTGTACTTCAATCATTTTGATGAATACAATTTTACCATTTGTAAACAAAAAAAATTATAAGAACTAGAATGTGCAATCAAGAACATATAAAACTTTATCACTTTTCACGTTAGGTTTAATTAATATGGAATGTCATGGTTACCTATCAAAGCAAAGGAGCATTAGGAGCATGGTTGTCAGCTCGGTGAAATGCCCTTTTGTCAAACCATACCACATGGAAACCGGTGCAACAATATAAACTTATTTGACATCTTGGGCACGAGAAAAAAACTCCTGCAATGGGCGGAGAAGGCACATTAGGTCAAGAATTGCAGATTGAGCACCAAAGCTCAACGACGTTATTTTTTTGTTGTCGATTTCCTTGTCTGGCTTGGCAACTCTGGTTGTGCATTTTTGTGGCCTTTTGTTGTCGACTACCTACAAATTAGTCGTTCGAAGATTTTCACAAGCACTACAACCTAGCCGGATCTCACACACAAGTCTCCAAGCAACTCCACCAGTCATCGACTATCTTGGGAAATTCAGCAAACGAGGCTGATGCACCCACGGGCGGCAACCTGATCAGAAAAGTTACGGAAGTGAAGCTCTGTCGCCCTAATCGTGTTAAAAACAAGACCCCTGCTCCGGCGCATCCATGGATATTTATTTATTTTATTTTGTGTTGAATTGATCAACTTAAAAAAAATAATTATTATTTAATGATGTGGCTATCACGCATTAGCCACATCAGCCTTTTTTGCTGAATCATTAACCGTAAAAATATTTGTTCGTTAGTATTGTTGGTCAACCCAAACTTCATGCTACATCTATCCATTATTTTCAAAATTTGGCCATAACTGTATTATTTGAAAGTCTTGAGTCCAAAATACGGTATTAAGTATTAAACCTGAATACTGGGGAGGAAAATATTGCCCGACAATTAACCCATACCGCGTGGTCCTGGTAATATGAACTCCTCGTCTGCAACCTGGTTTATTCGATTTCCTTGTCCACATCCTTGTCGCATTGGAAGATTAAACATCCCCTATAAAAAAGTCGTCCCACCACGAATATTTTCACTCACCAGTCATCGATGACCATGGGAAATTCAGCAGAGGAGGCCGACTACCTGACCAGGATGGACACGGAAGTGAAGCTCCCTCGCCCTAATCGGTTCAAAAACAAGACCCCTGCTCCCATTCAAATCACGGCGGAGCAACCGCGAGGCACGCGAGCGGCAGGAAGCCGAGATCCGCCGCCCTCCAAACCACCGATTCGGGTGAGCTCGCCGACTACCGCTTCCGAAAGAGGAAGGAATACGAAGACATGATCCGGCGGGTAAAGTGGAACACCAGGATCTGGGTTCAGTACGCTCAGTGGGAGGAGTCTCAGAATAACGAGAACTTTACGGAGTAGTCATTACATCTAGGACCCGAGTTGACAATTAAAGCTAAACCCGCTATACTACGCATTAGTTCGTGGTTACACATGGTCACTTTCTAGTGTGACTGTATTGGCGAGCCAGCCATCCAAAGGTTGCTGCTTGGATTAGGTTTGCCAAGTTCAAGATGGTGAAGAATGGTGAATCTGGCAGGATTAGAAATGTGTATGAGTGTGCAGCTGGGAAGTTGGCAGAGAATGAGGAAGCTGAGAACTTGTTTTGGCGTTTGCTGAGTTTGAAGAGAGATGTAAAGAAACCACACGTGCTTGGTGTATATACAAGTTTGCATTGGATCACACCCCCAAGGGGAGAACAGATGATCTATATAGGAAGTTTACTCTCATTGAGCTTCTAAATTTCAATCATTTCACACACCAGTCACCGAGCAATACGTCCGCCCCAGTCATCGACGAGCACACTAGCAATTACACCAGTCTGTCTCGACGACCATAGGAAAGATGTGAGATACTAGTAGAGACAGATACTATGTTATTTAGTTTAATTTTCAACCTAAGTTATGGATCATGAAGAATTTTCTCTTACTAGACACCAATTATTTTCAATCATTAGAATTAGTTTTCTCCAATACCTCAAACATATAGGAAAACTGCATTAAAGAAATCCCAGTGCATTATTAAACACTAAACTTCACTCCAATCAAACAACAATATTTGTTTAGTATAATATTTTTATATGAATTGAAGGCATGCAAATTGTATTGAAAGATTGTCATGATTATAACATGTTGTTGAAGGGCTAGCAAAATGGACATTAATTGGATGTGAAACATGCCATAAATTCATGATGTAATTTTATTTATATACCCTCATAAATTTTGATATTGCAAGGAGGTATTCACATTTACCTATTATACATTATAATTAATAAATTAATTAAATATAAATAAATAATATAAATATTGAATTAATTTGCAAGCATGAGTTAGATTTACTATGTCCTTACTTGTGATTTAGGTACCATTGACCTCAATGAAACGTGGAATTCTTTGTTGTCCCGGTGCTAATATATGTTGCTATATATTACTTTTGAAAAGGAGGACAAAGAATTGATAACATATATATGTTAAGTTAAAAGTTAAGAGGAATTTTGTAGTGTTTTATTATTGTCCATTGTGAAAATATTATACTTATTAGTACGTATTGTTCTTGTTTTGTGTACACATCATAAACATGACAAACAAATAGAAAAAGATAGTAAGATAATTTTCTACTTTAAGTTCTAAATTCCGAACTCTTAAATCTATGATAAAACATCTCGATAAACTAATGGTTATTACTAATCCATAATGTCTCAATTCCTTGATAAATATTTGAGTTTTTAAATTACAAAACCTTCATTTCTAAATCTATGGAGCAAACCACTTTTTATTTTTTATTTTATTTATGATAGGCCTGTTTGTGGGCAGAGGAACAACGACATGGGCTTAAAGGTCGGGCTCGGGCTCGGGCTTGGGCTTGGGCTTTTGAGTGGTTTGGTTGGTGCACCGATCGAATCCTTGTCCGGCTGGGAAACTATTGCCGTTTCCTTGTGGGATTGGATGTTTAAACATCCTTTATAAATAAATCGTCCCATTCCACCACCCTAGTCATCGTCGACGATGAGAAATTCAGAGGCCGGCTGCCGGGTCAAAAATAAGACCCCTGCTCCAATTCAAATCACGGCGGAGCAAATCCTCCGCGAGGCATGCGAGCGGCAGGAAGCCGAGATCCGCTGTCCTCCGAACCACAAAATCGCTGATTCGGGTGAGCTCGCTGACTACAGCCTTCGCAAGAGGAAGGATTACGAAGACCTGATCCGGCGGGCAAAGTGGAACATTAGGGTTTGGGTTCAGTATGCTCAGTGGGAGGAGTCCCAGAAGGAGTTCGGCAGAGCTCGATCGGTTTGGGAGCGAGCTCTGGAGGTGAATTACAGAAACCACACGCTTTGGCTCAGGTACGCAGATTTTGAGATGAGGAACAAGTTCATTAATCATGCTAGGAATGTTTGGGACAGGGCGGTGAGCCTTTTGCCTAGAGTGGACCAGCTGTGGTATAAGTACATACATATGGAGGAAATGCTGGGCAATGTGGCTGGTGCTCGGCAGATTTTTGGTAGGTGGATGAATTGGATGCCTGACCAGCAAGGCTGGCTTTCGTACATCAAGTTTGAGCTTCGGTACAATGAGATTGAGCGTGCTAGGGATATTTATACTGCTTTTGAGAAGCAGTATGGAGATAACGAGGGCATCGAAGATGCTCTACTGAGTGAAAAGAGGCTTGAGTATGAAGATGCTCTACTGAGTGAAAAGAGGCTTGAGTATGAAGATGCCCTACTGAGTAAAAAGAGGCTTGAGTATGAAGATGAAGTGAGGAAGAATCCATTGAACTACGACGCTTGGTTCGACTACACCAGGCTGGAAGTAAGTGCGGGGAATAAGAATAGAGTTAGAGAGTTGTATGAACGTGCTATTGCGAACGAGCCTCCTGCCCAGGAAAAGAAGTATTGGCAGAGATATGTGTACCTGTGGATAAACTATGCCCTGTATGAAGAGCTTGATGCAGAAGATGTCGAGAGAACGAGGGCGGTTTACAGGTTATGTTTGCAACGAATTCCTCACGAGAAGTTCTCATTTGCTGGGATTTGGCTTTTAGCAGCTCAGTTTGAGATCCGGCGCTTAAATTTGAAGGGTGCCAGGCAGATTTTAGGCAATGCAATTGGGAAAGCTCCCAAGCACAAGATTTTCAGGAGATACATCGAGATAGAGCTGCAGCTAGGAAATGTGGACCGTTGCCGGAAGATTTATGAGAAGTACCTGGAGTGGTGCCCTCAAAGTAGCTGTGCTTGGAGTAAATTTGCTGAGATGGAGAGATCCCTGGGCGAAACGGACAGGGCAAGAGCAATTTTTGAGCTGGCAGTTGATCAGCCAACCTTGGATAAGCCTGAGCCTCTGTGGAAGGCATATGTTGATCTTGAAATTTCTGAGGGGGAATACGAGAGAGCACGACGACTTGAGGAGAGGCTTTTAGATAGAACCATGAAAAGGAGGCGGCCAATCCATTCAGAAGATGGTGGTCTCTCTTGGCTGGAGGACAATCTTGCTCCAAACCGCAAGATAATGGAAGCTGCCTACAACTGGAAAAGACAACGAGTTTCTTCCTTGAACGATTAGCACAACCTTGCAGTGGGTTGGATTCGTATTAGCTTTGGTTTTGTACGTACCACAGTATTTGGTGAGACTAAATGGTTAATTGTATAGAATTTTTATTTACTTATTTAAGATTGTTCAGTGTATATTAAGTGTACAATTTTGGTGGATAATGAGTTCATTCGTGTATATAGAAAGTGTTTGTAAAGCCGTGTGTTAATCATGTTTCAGGATTAAAATGACGGGGCTAACTTTATGCTTAGACATGCCTAGATGTTACGCAATGTCAAAACGCCTCGTTTAGTAGTTTCACGTTTAGTAAGGTGTTTGGAATGAATAGGTTTCTAGCATTAGGTATTGAGAACATGTCAACGGATTAAGATGACACCTTAGTGTCTCCTAGGCAATCGTTAGATGCAACTTGGCAATCAATATCAAAGGAGAAAGCTGATATCAACTAAGAAAACTATTTTCTATCTCAATACTTTCAATAGCTCAAGAACTTTGTTAGCTATTGAGCTACGATTCTATGATGTTGTGAGTTATTTTTCTTATCATTAAGAGTTACGTTAAGTAAGTTATTTTTCTAGGAACAACCACCCTTCTAGAATACACAACCAGACCCTTCAGCGTTTAAAGAATCCCCTCCTTATCAAGAAGATCTCTCTCCGCAATCAGCATGGGTATCTGAGTTGGAGCTAGTTATGGCGGACTTCATGGGGCGGTATGTAGAGCCATGCTACTCTCCACAACTAGAGACGAAGAGCTAGTTGAAGCTAATTGTATAGAAGTTTGTCTTGGATAGTTAAAGAATGTGCTCCAAATTGGCCTTCCAATCCACTACCCCTCCTAACTTAACCTTTCTCCGCGAAACAGAGGATACTCTCCATCACGTAGAGAAGCAAAGAGAGTGAGTTGAGCAAACTTGTGCAAGACTTACTCAAGATCGCATTTTCGCTACCATACAAGTAGAAGAGGAGGATGAAGAAGCCAACTATGAGGACACTATAGAGCATACAAAAATTGTCACAGAGAGATTTCGTGATGATTATGATCAAACATGTTATGTGTTGACTGACCACACCCTTATTCCAAGTTGGATTTCGAATAGATGGGTACAAGTGCATAGATGCACGCTGATCTTATCGCAGACATTGCTTGGCAACTTATTATCTTACATGTGCTCGAGGAAGAGCTAGAAAGGGTGAGAGAATAAGTTTCGTAGGAGGAAGTAGATAATAGACAAGATGGAGCTCTTGATTTGTCCCAAGGGATTGAGCTTACTGTTGAAGAAGGAAGGGAGGTTGAAGACGTAATTGTGTTCCAAGCAAAGGACAAGGTCTAGGTGGTTGAGGCTTCTGCAAGCCAAGAGTCATATCAAAGATCCCTACCTGATCTTGAGGAGCTTCTATATAAGGACCCCTTTACTATCTCTCTTTGTCAGAACAAAGCCACACTGTCATTGGTCCCTCTTGGTGGATGTAATGGTGGTTAATCTATGATGTCTTACCTGGTTTGAGGCAATGAAAAGAGAGAAGGGAGTTCTCGTGGGTGGAGAATTCATCTTAATAAAGTACATGAGCCCTCATCACATGCCATCCCACTTCATCGATGAGAAGCTAACTTCAAGGAGGTTTTGGGCTGGATCGAGACTTATGAACCACCGTCCGACTCATGACGTTAAAGAAGCACTTGTTGGAAGGCAACCCAACTAGTCGGTTTGCATCTCTTTCCCTTTCTCTTCGGTTGAGTCATTCAGCCTTTTGATTTTTGAGTCAATAATTTAACGTGTGGGAGCATCTGTGTGGTATTTGTGGTTCCACCTACTCTTTCTTCCATGGAAGGCACCTCATGTCCATCCACCATCATTCACACCTGATCCAGTCACTTCATTCTACCCTCATTATCTTTCCTCCATTGAGGACAATATCGTGCATACATATGGGGTGTGTTCCATTATATATGTGTGTGAATTAATGGTGTGAATGTGAGTTCTGGGAGCCTAGTCCATTGTCCAAAAATTTCAAATTTGAGGGCTCTAAGTACATTGTTCCTTGTAATTATGCAATCTAGGGAGACTAGTGTAGCGCTATGGAGGATGTTGGTGCATGAGATGTGTCCCGTCTACTTCATACTTTGTTGGTTGACGTGTTGAATAGTCGTGTTACGAGTTGTGATTTGTAGTGTTGATGATTGTCACCCGTTTTGTGGACTTAAAAAAGAGGTCTCACATGAGTGACAATTGGTCATAGAGTTTAAGTTAAGTCGTCAAAGAGCTTATATTTTGGACAGGAGTGCCCTTTTGAGGATGTGTTTGGGGAGATTCAGATAGCTTTATTAGCATCCAACCTTCATTTACTATCTTTCATCCTTTCTTAAACACCTCTCCTCCTCATGAGACTTGGTTGACAGGAGATAATGTGCCTCTGCTCAATACAAGAGATTTTTGCTTTTGAAATTAATCTCATTTCTCATTGCAACCCTCTTTTTGTTTGTTGTGAGTGAATTTTGAGAAAGGGTGTAAGAGAGATACATAATAATATCCAACTTTCACCATTCACTTTGCCATTCTCTCTTGCATCACTTTCCCCGCAATGACTAGAATTGAGAAGTTATTGTCATTTCTGCTATTGTCACGTGAACTAGAGCTCTTGAATTCTAAACAATGGGATGATGCACTATGCAAGCAAATTAAAATTGAAGCTCAAAAGTTTGAGCTTCTTTAAAGAAGAGCACCCAAATTAAGTTCGCGGTTTTCACTATTTTTTAGAGTATGTTCATCCGTAAGTTGCTTGTCTTAGCTCTGCTATTTGATTTTTCTTGACTCGAGGCTAGAGTCCTCACCGATGTGGTTGGGAGTTGTCTTGTCTCCCGTTGACCTCCTAAGTTGCTAGTTTATTCACTACCGATAATCGAAATTGCAAGATATTGTGGGGGTCTAGTAAGTTGCACTAGTTTGAGTTAGGTTAGCTTGGGGATAAGCAAAAGGTTAAGTGTGAGGGAGTTTGATAACGTCATAATTATACATGCTTATCGGATCATTCCTTGGCTGTTTGGCTAGGTAACTATTGTTCATTGGCCTATTTTATATTTGGTAGTGTCTAGTTTTCCATATTTCAGGTCATAGAGTGCGATGAAGGCTTAGGAGCGAGTTCTGGGGCATTTGGAGGCCAAAAAGGAGGAAAAGAAGACCCACAATAATGCCACCACCTTAGGTATGAAAAGCACGAATATGAGAGGCAAATCTTGGGCCGTGCAACCATTTTCAGGGAATCTGTCAAATTACACGGGCAGGAGGGCCTGTTACACAGGCCGCAAACTTCATGACAACCCCGTGTAATATTCCACCTTCGAGTATAAATGCACTTGTTTGTTTGCATTTTTTTAGGAGGATAGTTGGTTTTGGATCCCAAACAACCAAGAGACGAACCCTACAGAGAGTGACTTGGGTACATTCTTGGAGTTAAGTTGGAGGATTTCTTTATCATTGGAACTCTACGAACAAGCTTGGAGATGGAGATTGAAGAATTAGATCATAATTCTCTAATATTACTCTTTTCTATGGAGTAACTTTTCTTTACATAGGTTTTGAGGAACCCTAGCCATGTTTGTTTGATTCGATGATTGTATGAGTACTCTTTGTTGTTACACATGAGTTCATATTAATTCTGTGCATGTTTCGATGTACAATTCTGCTTTAGTCGAGATTATTGATTATGCTTTGATTCTATGAGAGGAAATGCCTGATTAGGTCAATAGAGTACCATAGATTGAAAGTAGGGGACCGATAACACGAGATTGAGTCAATTTCTTCCCATGTATTGAGCGAGAATCTTGCCCAATAGAGGGAGTCTACTGTGGAATACCTTGATCGATTTTTTAGAGAAGGATATGTCCCTCTAAGAAACTGACACAACAAGGCCTTATTTGCTTTAATCGAGATTCAAGGTATAGTCAAGGTCTCTCAGCATTGTGAATGAATAGTGAATCCAGTTAGAGATCTTCAATCATTAATCCGGCTAGTGGCTAGGGAGAATCATACCTAAATGAGTACCCAACCTGGAATTAGTAGTCTAACCTAGTTTAGTTTGTAGAGCAGTTTAGTTCTTTAAACCTCACTCTGATTTGCTTGATAATAAACTAAAGTTGAGTAATAGTAAATATAGAATTATGATTTTTAAGAGATTTTCTACAAAAAAATCTTTTTATTGGGATCTTTTGTGAATATCCATTGCTTGGCACCAAAGGGAAGGTTTCTGGTTGTTAAAAAGACAATTTTGGCTTTTTTCACGGTTTTCCTGATCTAGTTGGTCTGTCAACCCATCTCCATTTGAGTCCACATACTCTTATTCTTGTCTTCTTTGATTTCATAGCATTCTTAGAGCATCCCCAACAATGCAATCCTTCTGCACTTTCATCAAGTGTGGTCCCTACTGCCACCTAAACAACTTTAGCAATTACTTCACTCATCAATTTCATACTAGCTACATCAATATCATTCAAATGCAATTGCACTTCTGGGTCCCACTTACTTTTTAATACCACACAAATGGTTGGAAAAAGAAGAAAGAAAAACAAACAAAGGACCCACTTGCAATTGCATGTGATTTTCATGGTGTGCAAATTTCACCACTTGAAAGTGGTCTTGCATCCATGCCATCCACTTTTTCAATTGCACATGGTTGCCACCTCAGCTTGCAACTCCCTCCATTTGCACCATTAGAGACGCTCTTAGGATTTTGATAGATTGGATCCCATTGTAGGCTTAGAACAACCACATTGGACTTCCATTTTCTTTTGAGTCACTCAAAGTTGTTTTCTGGCTTTTGGTTTATGGTTTACGATGCATTATCCATGTACATGACGATCATCTACGATTCCTAAGGCTGAAAATAACTAAGAACTACCAAGAAGGCATCATATGTGAAAAAGCGCTTCTAAAGGCTATCAATTGCACGTTTGAGCTCGTACAAAACAAATTCAAGTAAAAATAGGTAAAGATAGGTAAAAAAGGGAGCAGATCC